TATTAGACCCCTTAGAGGTGTTAGGTGTTTCTTTGGCCTGGCAAGGAATCTCATTTCCTTAGGCACTCTAGAAGAAGAAGGTTATGAGTTCATATCTCATGTTGATACTTTAAAGATTTGTAAAGGGTCTTTAGTCGTTATGAAAGGTCCCAAGAGGAATGTGTTATATGTCCTTCAAGGTGAAGCCTTAGGCAAAAAAGAATCGACATTGTCTTTTCTTTGTGAAGATAGATCAGATCTTTGGCATAAGAGGATGTGACACATTGGGGGTTGAAATATCTTATTGATCAAAATTTACTTGATAATGATAGTGTTACACCTTTAAATTTTTGTGAGACACGTGTTCTAGGAAAGTCATACAAGGTTAACTTTAGGATAGGTGAAAACAGCACTAAGATACCATTGGATTACATTCATGCAAATTTGTAGGGTCTAGAAAAACATCTCACACATGGAGGGAACATATTTTCTATGTCCATTGTTGATGACCATTCGATGAAAGTTTGAATGTATCTCCTTAAATCCAAATCTAAAACTTTTAGTAAGTGTAAATCCTGACTTGCCTTAGTTGAAAATCAAATGGAAAAAGGTGTGAAACTCTTAGGACGGACAATAGTTTAGAGTTTTGCAACTTTGAATTTGATAATCTTTGCAAGGGAAAGGGTATAATGGGGTACAGGACTGTGAGACATAGCCCCCAAAGAAATGGGGTGGCAAAAAGGATGAATCGGACTTTAATGGATAAAGTTAGATGTATGATGATTAGTTCAGGATTGTCTAAAAGTTTCTAGGGTGAAGCCTTGTGTTCTGCTGCCTATTTAATAAATATGTCACATTTTAGTTCTGTTAACTTCAAGCCTCCCCAAAAGTTGTGGTCTAGAAAAACCCTAGATTTGTCACACATTAGAGTGTTTGGTTGTGCGGCTTATGCACATCAGGTTGAGGGCAAATTGGACCCTAGGGCTACTAAGTGTGTAATGTTAGGTTATCCAGAATGAGTGAAAGGTTATAGACTGTGGGTTTTAAGTGTGAAGGGTAT